ATTAATATATTATTATTATTATTAATTTATTATATATTATAATTTATAAAATTTAATTTTTTAAAATATCATAAATTTTTAATATATAATTATTTTAAATTATTTTATATTTCGAACAATAACGATTCGAACACGAACGAACGCATCAATGTTCGTATTTGGCTCGTTTAACTAACCAAACGAAAAACATTTGTTCACGCACTTTGTTCACGTTCGTCTCGTTCTCGTTCACTTATCAAACGAATCGAACACAAACTCATTGACGAACCGAACACGAACTGTTCGCGAACAACGAGCTTTTCTGACAGCCCTATCTCTAGCACTAAAAATTAAATTTTTTTTCGTAAGTACCAACTTACCTATGCAAGAAAATTAGTCCATTTTAACTTGCTAAAAGTTAAAATGGTGATATACTTTATATAATCTGAAAGATTTGGGTGATATGAATGTAAAAATTAAAATTTTAGTATTAGATACGCAAGTACATACAAATTGGGTGTTATGTATGTAAATAACCCATTATATAAATTCAGATTTCTTACATTTAAGTGTTCTAAATTCAAATTCTAATTTATATAAAAAAAAATGTTAAATTCAATTAAATTAAAATAAATTATTTGATTATTTATTTTGGAATATAAGTATTCATAGGATTGGGCCATCCGATCACATATACATACACATTCCTGAATCGTTAACTCAAATTTTGAGAATATCCCATTGTTTATACAATGCTTATTATCATTTCAAAATTTTTAATAAATTAGAAGACGATTCCTGGATCATATGCAATGCATGTTGCATCAAATATAGAAAAATGAAAAAGGGAAGTTCTCAAAAGACGAGACAAGGCAAACAAAGCAGATGAGATGGTAGCCCAGTAGTTGGGTATTTCATGCCGTTCCGAAAGTTCCCATGCTCAAAATAAGACAAAACAAGACAAGTGGTGCCTGATTCAGGCAAATTCTCAAACGCAAAAGATGCATGGCTCCAATACAGTTGAAAGAACATTGGCTTCCACTTGCCTCATACGAGTAGATCGTAATGGTTGTTGCTGGAGTAGAGTAATTTGACTACCATCCTCCGCTTCCCCTTCTCCGGCTTCTTAAACTCCGAGCCGTATTCAGCAATGGGAATGAAACCATTTCTTCCACTAGCTGTTGGGTGCTGTTAAACCAACACTTAAGGGGTTAGCACCATAATAAAACTATTAGAAACCAGAGATACTAATTATGAATTTATATCTCAATAAATCCTTATATTTATCTAATGATTGACATTACTCTTTACATTTATGTTTCATATAATAAAATGTAAATTTAGTTCTACTTGCAATGCTTGGCCGGGATCAAATAACTTTCATTTAACATACTTAAACCTTTTAAAATTAAAAAAATTGCTAAATTATGGATCAAGACCAAAAATTTCTCAAGAATATACCATTCATCTAATGTGCAAAGACAATTTAGGACTCATGATAGTTGTGTTTGTTCAGAAACATGGCTTACCCATTTTTTTTTTAATTGCATATTTAATTAAATTTTTTACAGTCCTAGGTATTATGTCATATTTAATTGGTACAATAATGTAATCGCAAGATCTCATACCACTTTGATGAAGGATAAGAAACACAAATCATAGACTACCACTCTCAAGCAAGAATTAGTCTTATTTATGTAAAAATAAAAAACACCTTTCTTTAATCCCAAACAATAATTACATTGATAGCGGAACTAGTAGGGAATACAGCGGAAACATACAAAACAAACTTTTATTAATATAGAGATAGAGTTACAACATGACACAAGCGGAAAATAACAACACCAAAACATAAAACGACACAAGCAAACGTCTTTTAAGTGTATTCCTAGAATAGTGGAGGTTGGTTAGGTGGATCGGGATGGCTAGCGGGGATGCCGACAGCAAATGCAAGGTGAAAAACTGCAATAACAACTAGAGGGCTGGTTGTCATGTGCAGCGACAACAAGAAATTGGGGCATAAATGGCAGGAGCAGCAAGGGTTTGATGTCCCAGGGCGGAGAGGCAGCAAGGACTGGTGGGTCATAAGCTATGTTAACAAAGATGTGAGCGGTTTGGGGTGGCGGGAAGGTGTTAGACAGTAAGGTAGGACTGGAGTTATGGGTCGGTTGGATGCTCGGAGGAATTATGGGAAGGCGGACAACAAGGTTGGATTGTTTGAGAAGGGCAGCTGACTATTGGGATGGAGTAGGGGGAGGATGACAACGAAGGGGAGGGAAGCAGAAGGGTTAGATAATGGTAAAATGGAAGATACAACACCACATCGGAGTAGGATACAAACAGAACACCACCACCTCCTCGAATACAATCCTACAAAAAGGAAAAGGACTCAACACAAGAAACCTGAAAGCAAACACAACAAAAACCAACAAAAAATCTAAGCATAATACCTCCTATTTATAATGAGGACTATAACTTATTTTAGGTAATGTTTAAAATAAGAAGAATAAAGATAATAAGAATTTCAGATGAAGCAAAGATTAAATAAGTGAGGGGAATTCGGATTTGGAAAGGAAATATTTCATATTTCAGATTTCAATAAAAATAATCAAATTGAAGATTTGGATAGGACTTATAATATGAAGGTGCTAGGAAGGAAATAAAGGAAAGGAAAGGAAACAAAACGAGGGGAAAGAACGCGAGAGAAATGGGAGGAAGAAAAGGAAAGGGGGGTTGGTAGCTCTCCCCCGCTGCCGGTCCAACCAAGATAGACTGAACCGTAGGACGGTCCTTCCCAAAGCCCAGCTTCATACATAGTCACCAAGATCTAAAATACCACAACAAAAATAGTCAACAAACATAAAATTGTCCCAATGATCAAGTTTCACATTACAAAAAAAAAGTCATACAAAAATCATGCTTGACTAAACTTCAATCATGCACATGCACTTAGTTACTAAACAAATAAATAATACGAACACATATCCCACAACACCACATTCACAAATAAGAAATGAGAAATTTTCAATGTTAGTTTTTCATTTATTTATTTATGTGGCTCACTATCATTTATTTTAATAGTAATTAAAAGAAGAGGGTCACGTCTCTTCTCAATAGACACCGCATCCTTTCGCTTTAATTAATTAATTAAATTATCCTAAATGAAGGGCCATGTCTCTTCTCAATAGACACCGTATCCTTTCACTTTAATTAATTAATTAAATTATCATAAATCCTATTAGTCAATAATCACCATGATGGATAGTGGTTAATAATGGATAATTAAGAGAAAGATTGTCTCTTCCCAAGAGATTATTTTTTCTCTTATAAATAAAAAAAGAATTTTCTCTCTCCCAAGAAGAAATATATGTTTTCTCTTCATCAGAAAGTACAAAAAGAAATAAGTATTAGAGAGAGAAATTTCATCTCTTAAATCAAATTCTACAACCATGAATACAGGTATGTATATCTTATTTATGGGTATGTGAAAATCATGAATTCAAAAATCTTGGTTATTTAATTTTATGCATTTTGGGTCATGAAATAGAATTTTATAAATTTAAAAATCCCAGCATGTGGTATCAGAGTCTCGATTGTTGAATTTGTGATTTTTCATTTAATTTTATTTATGTTAATTGTATAAAATTTTTGTTGTAAGTTAGATCTTGGAATTAGATCACTAAAGATAATCGGTGAATTGAGATATTATTGTTTATTTTATATGTATATTATGTTTAATTTGTTAGTCACCAAAGTGGTCAAATTAATATGTTTAATAGATGTCAAATTAAATAAATTCAATTACTCATAAGTATGTGATGCTTCTTAAGAAATAATTTTTTGCATTTCATTATGGGTATATTGAAATTCATTGATTATAAAATATTTGTGGATGGCTCAAATGTTGATTATTTATTTTATAATCTTTGAATATGATTGTGGCATATTTATATATTTGATTAGATATGATTATATATTCAAAGATAATAAACATGTCTAATTTGAGTATAACGAATTGTCAATTATGTCAAACTAATCATTCAAGCATCAATTATATTTATTATTATGTATTGTTATATTACCCAAAAGAGATTTTCAATACACTACTAAAGTTTTAATTTAATCTGTGCGGATTGCATTAAGAGAAAACACACAAAACACACACTTAAGAAAGCTTCCACAAGAAGCATACAGTTCCTTGAAATTATACACACTGATATTTGTGGACCTTTTGATGTTCCATCTTTTGATGGAGAAAAATATTTTATCAAATTTATCGATGACTTTCACGTTATGGGTATATCTACTTATTGAATGAAAAATCTCAATCACTAGATATCTTAAATGTGTTTATAACTGATGTTGAGAGACAATTAGACAAAAAAATGAAAATCAACAAGTCTGATAGAAGTTGTGAATATTATGAAAGTTACAATAAATATGGACAATGTCCGGGTCCATTTGCTAAATTTCTTCAAAATAATGACATATGTGTTCTATACACTATGTCAGGAATATCACAATAAAATGGTGTTGCAGAAAGGCGAAATCGTAATCTTATGAAAATAGTTAGGAGTATGATGAGCAATTCTTCTTTATTTTTATCATTGTGGATGTATGCTTTAAAGACTGTTGCATATTTGTTAAACAGGATTCCTAGTAAGACAATTTCAAAGTTTCCTTTTGAACTATGGACATGAAGAAAATCTAGCTTATGACACTTGCATGTTTGGGGCTGCCTAGCGAAAATAAGGATTTATAATCCACATGAAAGAAAATGGACTCAAGAATAACCAATGGTTTCTTCATTGGTTATCCAGAAAAATCTAAAGAAGATTTTATTGTCCTAACTACAATACAAAAATTATTGAAGCTTGAAATGCTAAGTTCATTGAAAATGGTGAAGATAGTGGGAGTTTGGAATCACGTAAAGTGGAAATTTAAGAAATTAAGATTCAAGTTCCTTTACCTGAATTTTTTTCTCAAGTTGTTATTCCTACATTTGTTGAACAGTCTGACAAATTACATGAACAACAAATAAATGATCAAACACCACATAATGAATCTGCCACTAATGAACCTATATTAAATGAATCACAAGAAGTGATATCTAGAAGGTCTCAAAGACAAAGAAAGTCTGCTACTTTTAATGATTATGTGATTTATTAACATGAGTCTGAATTTGACTTTATCTACATGAGTCTGAATTTGACTTGGGAGTCATTGAAGATCCAGTTTCATTTTCACAACCCATTGAAAGTATAAATTCTCCTAAATGGTTAGATGCAATGAAAGATGAGTTAAAATCGATGGATCATAAGAAAGTTTGGGATATCGTTGAATTTTATGAAGGTTGTAAAAGAGTCTAGTGTAAATGAGTCCTTAAGACTAAGCGCGACTCGTATGACAATATTGAAAGCTATAAAGTCAGACTTGTCGTCAAAGGTTTCACATAGAAAGATTTTCTCCAATTTCTATGAAAGATTCATTTAGAATTATCATGACACTAGTAGCTCATTATGATTTGGAGTTGCATCAAATGGAACTGAAAACTGTCTTTCTGAATGAGAATTTAGATGAAGATGTCCACATAAATCAACCTGAAGAATTTTCAGTCGAAGGAAAGAAACACATATTATGTAAACTTAAGAAATCAATATACGGACTTCAGCAAACTTCCCGACAATGATATCTTAAGTTCAATGGTACTATCACTTTCTTTGGATTTAAAGAAAACACTGTTGATCGGTGTATATATCTGAAGGTCAGTGGGAGCAATATCATATTTCTCATTCTGTATGTTGATGATATCTTACTGGCTACTAATGATTTTGACTTACTGTATGAAATCAAGAATTTTCTCTCTAATAACTTTGAAATGAAATATATGGGCGAGACATCCTATGTGATTGACATTGAAATATTTCGTGATAGATCACAATGATTGTTAGGACTGTCTCAGAAAGCATATGTCAATAGAGTTCTTAAGAGATTCAATATGGAAAGGTGCGAAACAGACTATCACTACTGCATCCACTATGGAAGTTGAATTTGTGGCATATTTTGAAGCTACAATTGAGGGCTTATGACTGCGGAATTTTATTTTAGGACTTGGAATTATCGACGGTATTGTCAAGCCGCTAAAAATTTACTGTGATAACTCCGCAACAGTCTTTTTTGTTAAAAATGACAGGTATTCTAAAGAAGCTAAACACAAGAAATTAAAGTACCTTGTCGTAAAGAAGAAGTTCAGAAACATTGAGCATATTAGCATCAATCTTTTGATCGCGTATCCATTAACGAAATGGTTGCCACCACAAACATTTAACAAAAATATGTCATAAGAATGAGCATTGTCGAAACCCTTTATTAATTTTATGTTTATTGTTCTTTATGTTTGACACTTTGAACTCAATTTATTGTTGTTTCTGATATTTATGTATCTTGTTTTTATCGCTGGTATACACTTTATGTTATGCGATGTTTAACAAGATTTGTCTTTTAATAGACATTATGGGACCATGATGTTATTTTTCATTATGTTAAGTATGCAATTGATATTGTGATACATGAAATGAACTGTGACGATAAATCGATACATAACCGCCATAATTCATATTAATTTCATACTTATTAATGATTTATGATTTGATCAATATAAAAAAGAATTTTAACTTACATTTTGTGCAGTATGTTATGCACTATTAAGTATTACGTGAGTCAAGTGGGAGAATATTAGTTTTTCATTATTTATTTATGTGGTCCACTGTCATTTATTTTAATAGTAATTATTAAATAAAAAAAGAGGGTCATATCTCTTCCCAATAGACATTGTATCCTTTCGCTTTAATTAATTAATTAAATTATCCTAAATGAAGGGTCATGTCTCTTCTCAATAGACGTCATATCATTCGCTTTAATTAATTAATTAAATTATTGTAAATTCAATTTGTCAATAATCACCATGATGGATGGTAGGACTGCAACAACATTGTCATAGGCATGTTTTAACATTTAAAATAAAGTACCAAGCGCAAATTAAGAATCAATACACATGAATTGTATTCTCAATAAAAACAGACTTCCCAATTCCCATAAATCTAAATCTACAAAACCACAAAAATATTGAGTTTAAATGGGACTTCGTTTATCCACAGAAGAACAGGTCTACGGTTTAAACCACAACATTTAAAAAAAGGACAAATATGAAATCTCATATAAAACATCAACAAATGTAGAAGGATAAAGGGCAATGCAACTTCATCTAATACTTTGTTTATTGCAATAAATATCTAAGACTGGTATGAGTTCATCCCAAAATTAACTTTAAAAGACCATAAAAACTTACCTCGTTTACAGGTATATACACCTCAATCGGCTGACGACACAGCTTTGATAGAACCTGAGGATGTCATAATGATCAGAACATGAGACTTATTACACATTTGATTTTGTTTATTCATCAAATGTGTCAAATAATTTTATAAAACGGTCAAAGTCTCAACCCTTCAACTTTCAACTAAATTAACCTGAATTAACCCAACATCTGTGTGGCATGTCGGCAAAACCCAAGTTTATAAGAGATTGATGTCAATATGATGAAGGGTAAATTTAAAGTTTACGTTACTTAATGGCTTAATGCAATTAGAATGATTAAATGAATGTAAATCAAATTAAAGAAATTATGATATGTACATTAAAGATCACTAAAAGTGCAAAAAAAAAATTTGCTCTTTAAATGCAAATTGGAAACTACAAGACTTAGAACCCAAAAAAATAAATGTATAAAATGAATTTTAAGAAAATCAAATCACTCAAAATCATTAAGCAATCAAAATTTTTTTACTACAATTAAGAAATTAAACCACAAAAATTTAAATAAAATTATAAACTCTAACAGCCAAATTAGAAAAAAATAGATTAATGAAAAAAATAATCAAAATGAAAAGCAGACCTCACGACAGTACATGGAGACGACATCTCTTGAATTAGGTAATAATTCTCATACCGCTCTCAAAGGAATTACGCTTCTAACATGCACAGAAGGTTTAAACTAAAATAAAAATTTTAATTGAATTAAAACCTGTTTAGTTACATCCTCAAACTAATTATTTATAGGCGTCTTACATATAATCAACTAATTCTTAAAAGTGAAAAAGGTCACACAGCAATAATTCAAAAAGAAACCACACACCAAAAAAACTGCAGGAAAAATCAAGAAATTTGAGCCTCAAGAAATGGTTGAATAGGCGCTAATGGACATAGAAACCGAATGCAGGAACTACAAGCTACCACAAATCATCACAAAAAAAACATTATGAAAAAAATAATTAAAAGAATAATAAAATAAATTAATTTTGCTTAGAGCATTCAATTAGTTGCTCAACTTTTGTTGAATGTAAAAACGAATACTTCCATTAATAAGTACAATAAATTGTTTAGCATAAGACAAATCGGCACTTGAACCTGCAAAATCAGTTTAGTCTATCCTTGTGCAGGTTATATCCCTCAGTGTGACGTCACTTATGTTGATTTCTAATTACCGCAATAAAATATAAGCATATTTAGAAAAAATAAAATACTTCGGGAGTAAATGGGCATATTTAGAAAAAATAAATTACTTCGGAAATCAACAAGAAAAATTAGCATAAGCGTCAAATAATCAGTAAAATGTTTTCTACAAAATGTTTGGTTGAAATAAAGCCCAAAATGAGTAGAAAATCATATGGAATATACTTACCAATAGTTCTGACTCTCCACCCCAGAAATCAGAATGTCCAATCCGCTGGCAATATCTGCAGCATAAAAGTAAAACAAAAAAACATCATAAAAAGTAGTCTTCAAATCATTTATAAACACTAGAGCATTTCAACTGTTTCAAGCCACCGCTTTAAAGACTCTTCGACGGTAATTGCTACAAGTGCTTCTTCATACTGAAGACGTTCTTCACCATTGTCACACATCACCTCCTTGACTGCCATTCGCAGTTCATCTGCATAACCAAAAAAGTTAGTATGCAATATACGAATATAAAAAGGTAGACGGTCGGCACTAAAATTGTCTCAAGAATCCACACGCATCATCTGTAGAACTTAAGAATCAGGATGTCTTATAACTGATTATTAAGCTTCAGATCACATTAAGTGAATGTAAACGTTGGTCGAATGGGTAGAAGTATAGGAACCTCAATAAATTCAGGAATCTATTAGTAAAGAATAAATCCACATTTATGTTCCTAAAGATTCAAAATCAAATGTACTGTTTGGCTCAACCACGTTTATAAAATTACTACCTCATCATTAGTGTATGTTCAGATTCTTAAGCATTCAAAACCATCTAGAGACATAACGAATCAAATTATAAGCCAGAAGAATAGTTCAAAAGAATTTACCTAGTATGTGAGAAACGATGATAAAATTTTATATATATCACACATTCACGATATTAAAAGTTCCCATAACAATACTTAAGAAAAAGTTACAAGTTATTATTCAGTTTAACGTCCCCTCCTATGACGCGGCCATCTTCTCCTTGGTATAACTAAAACATGTCATTTTCATAATATGCAAATGATTAAGTTGCAATGGGAAGTTTTCCCTCGCACCATCCTTGAAATAATATAAAATTAAAACACTTAAAAATTTCCTTGATTCCAACCCAATTAAGCCCCACTGATTTAGTAGGTCGGCCAAATTTATTGTTTATCAATTCTATCTGGAGTGGGATGACAAGAAAACAAATCTACTAAACCACTGCTGATTCTATAAAGGGTTAGCTGTTACAATCTGCATGTTTGCCGATACAAGCTAGTGATATTTGAGCAATTTGGATGGTGAAATAATTGGACTGGCAGTTCAAGTCAAATAGCACCTGAGGTTGACAAGGTGAAACGAGTGGCAAGCAAATTGAAATCCATTTGAGCAGCGGGGAGCAGTGTCAAGTGAAGCTGAATGCATTAATGAATGAGCTGGCTCGAGAGATTGAATGATAGGCCGACCAAGTGAGAATTGTAATGACTCAAGTTGCTGGTCAAAATAAGCCTTTTAGAATGTTTAAGTATCAGATAGGTTGGAATAAGTCAATCAAGACTGCATTTACTAGAAAGACACGTCAGCAGCTATAAGAGAATCTTTAGTAGTCTCCAGACAGTCACTCCATTCAATGATAAACTTTTACCATTAGGAAAGGGACCATATGTATGTAGGACTGCTTGAAGATTGAAGCCACAAACTCGAGTGTAGCATGAAGCCAAGTAGATTGCCGATCAACCTTTAACTTCTTACCTAACTCCTTTATTTAAGATCAGACACTACAGTGAATAATGCTTAATGTTACATAAGTAGCTAGGAAAGGAGGAGCATTTGAACGGTGAGCCTGAGACTTACCAACACCAAGCAAGAAGATCTCTAGTAGTTTAAGAAGACAAGACCTTGAGAAAGGAAATCAACCTCTGGTGCTTTGTGATTATTCCAGATGAGTGATCCATAATCCACACTTGGTAGTCCATTTCTCTGAGTGATTAAATGAGAAATCCGTAGCTCTTTTTCTCTAATATGAATGAACTAATGATATAAATAGATGCATAATAGATTTATCCTCATTATTTTGATTCCAGGTGATAATATAATGATAAGAACAATAAACTTTTTCTGCATATTTAGAATAGAGTGATTTGTGATAAGCTATTGAAGTGAAAGAAAATAGGCGCAATGTTGTCTCCTCCAACTCTATTGGTGTTGTGCGTTCTCTGGTTAGTGACTATTTTTTAGTGAAGTGTAATCCCTGACTTATGAAACTAATAGGTGTTGTCTGATCTCCTTTAAAAATTTGAAATAAAAAAAAACTAACTGATAAATTGAGTGCTTGATATCCAAACATGTGAATCCAAGAATTCTTGATTTATTGCACTTGAATAACATTCATCCACCATAGAGCCAACTGAACTCGTGCCAAGCCAATTGAATTTCCTTTATGCTAATTCCGTCAATTTTGTAAATTGCGTGTAGCCTACCTGGTCATGTTGTTGGCTATTCCTTTGATTCCATTATTTGCATGCCTCAAACCATCAAATTTTAACTATATGATAGATTTCATATCAAGGCTTAGTCTTTATAACCATGAATTCGGTGAGGGGCAAGGGGAGTGTGCATAGCATAGGCAAGTCATCAAGCATATATTTACTAATCACCATAAGATCAAATATGAATGATTGCAGTTTCATCTACATTTAGTGCACATGGAATAGGAAGCTAGTAATGATGAAAGAAGTATACGACTTACGAGTGAAATTTTAATGTTAGAAAAAGAAGGGACACAAGGAAGACCATTCGAAGCTCTTGGGACAGCAATTGTGTTGAGTGAAAATCCTATATGTATGCTATGGTGTAGACTCTTACCATAGGCCTCCAAGAAATCACATATATTTGTCAAGAAAACCAAGCAAACTGGCATTCATCATTAATCAATCATCCAACACCTTATATGGAATTCCATTATTGTTGCCATCCAGTTGTTAAGCTTACAATAAACAAACTGACATTCAACTGACAATGATCCTTCCGCAAGTTGAAAATCCAAACAACAGATCACTCCCACATGCTTTTTTTTATGGATTTAATAAGTTAGAAATGTAGAATAAGATAAAAAGATTCATGACTCGATTTTTGTGATTAAATGTGCTTTAAATTTGTTTTTCAAAAATATAATGAGATTTAAGGGCAAGGTTTAAACAAAGACCATTAAGAAATTTCAACTTCAAATATATCTAGAAATCTTAGATAAATAATCTAAGCAGTTCATGGTCTTAAAAGGGAAGCAATCTCCTCATCATAACAATCCATCAATTGAAAAATAGATTTTTTATATGATGTCAAGAAAGAGGGGTCATCTTTGTTTGATACCCCCTATTAATCAAGCTTAGGGGTTAACTAAGGAATACAATACTCAACTATCATTAGAAAAAAAGCTAGTAACATTTATCACAATCCTTGCCATGTGCCAAACATTACTATTATGCTTCTCCGTGGTCTAGAAACATTGCTTGTCCTACAATCACAACACCATATTAACCTTTGATAGCACACTTTTGACATAAATTTTATATTGCATTGCTCCTCGAGATTCACCAGTAATCGAGCCCACATTTGTTTCAGTTATTTTGGTGTTTGATTTCATGTATAAGATGCCATTCCTACATTCACGTTCTATACAAGCATTTCAAGATGTAAAATGAAAAATAATCTCTCTCTTATAGTAATAATGTAATATCCCACATAGAGATGAAATTTCTTAAACAATGTCAAGATAAAAGATCTTTGTGTGACACGTGCCTTAATTAAACTTGGAAGTTGACCAAGGCATCACAATACATCGACCCTACAATGGCAAACAAGTTAGAACATATTATTAGCACCATTTATCACAATCCTTGTCTTGTGCTTGCCATTGTTATCATGCTTCTCTATAATCCTAAAAAAGGTTTTTCAAACAACACCCATATAATCTTTGGTAACATTCACTTAATAGAAATTTTATCTTATATTGATTTTTCAAGTTCACCCAACATTTAAGTCAACAGTTGCTCTCACTATTGCTATCACGTAGAAGATTGCATCCTCTTATGAGCTATCACGAGAGCACACTTGGTTACATTGAAGAATTTATATAAAAGATTAAGATATAATCTTCTTGAAGTCTATAATGTGTCCCTTAGTGGTCTATTTTTGTATATCATCAACTCCTGCAATTCTCAAGATTTGATCATCAACAAGATGAACCTCCCATAATCTCCTGCATAATGGTTAGTCCGAATCTCTTTATATTTAGTGGAGTAAAATAGCATACTTCACCATCGAAACAAGGATCAATGTGTTTCAGATCTCTTTTTGCAATATTTACAAATTATAAATTCATTCAACACTCAATAGTTTGATTCACAAAAAAATAAAAAATAAAATAAAAATGATATCTTAAACAACACTCATCGGAAGCGAACGAAAAGTGAGGATACATAAGGCTAAAGAGAAGGGAAAATGATAATAATGATCATGAAAATCTCAACTATTTGATTTGAACTATGTCCACCTTTTTCCTATGGATAGCACTTTTCATGTTTCCAGCCTTATTGCATTGGAACATGCATTATTATGGCCCTTAGATTGACTTTTTAATTGAGATTTGGATTTATTTTCATTATTCTCTCTCTTAATAGTTCAACCTCTAATTTAAAAATTTAAAGCGACGAAAGGAGAACTTTAGATTGTCTCCTGATGTTCTCACTCAAGAACAAGTCATAGACATCATTAAATTTCATCTTTGTAGACCCACATGTATTGATAGTCCTTAGAATTCCTGAACTAGTGACAATAGGTTCGAATCACAAACTTCTTAAATGAAAATGATTTGATCAAACTCAGCTTGTAATCAATTGAGCCCATTGATATGTATTATTGTAGCAGCATCTTCATCAATCCTAAAATTAAAAATTTTCCTCATTAAATACACATTATTTATAGATGAAGGCTTCCAATATATTTTTAATGACCTTTCATGTCAATTACGAACTTCTCATGCAGTATGTTATAGGTAAATCATCTTTTTGTCAACATCATGCATAGTACAACCCTCAACAATCGCCAATCCAAGAGATCCTAAATTTTTTTACTCATGCTTTCTAGCCCTTGTCTCCGAGAGAGGTAAATTCATTAATTAATGATATATATCTTTTAACATCTAAAATCTTTACTATTGAATTTTCTATCCTCAACTTACCATCATCGGAGACTATTGCTCTCAATTTTCTAATGGAACTCCAAAGCCTAGCTCTAATACTACTTGTAGGAAAAAGAGGATGCCAAGGTGGTGGATCTATAACATTTACCTACAAAGAGAAATTTTCACTAGATCCATAGATAATTAAAATAATGCAATATTTGCTTCGCCCAAAAATTTTATTTTTGTTTTATCTCACTAACGATATTGCAAAGCACCAAAGCCTTTCCCAATACTAGATAATTTAAAAATATATTAGTGCAGAAATATCAAGTAAATGGATCTCACCTACAAGCATAAATTTTTGGGAAGTTACCACTCCTCGAGACTACTGCTCCTAAGTTTCCAATGGAACTCCAAAGCCTAGTAGCACTAACACTAGTTGTAGGAATGAGAGGATGACAAAGTGGTGGCTCAATAATGTTTGCCTACATAGAGAAATTTTCATTAGGTTCATAGTTAATAATAATAATGCAATATTAACTCACCCAAATATTTTATATTTGTTTTATCTCAATAACAATATTGCAAATCACAAGAAGCTTTCCCAACATTAGATAATTCAAAAATATATTAGTGCAAAAATTTCAAGTAAATGATTCTCACCAACAAGCATGAACATTTGGGTTGACAATAGATTTGATGAACAGTATACCAAGCCCAACTTTAGCCCTCTTTTTAGTTCACTTCTGACAACTAATATCAAAGCTATGGCTAAGATCAAGTGGTTCTCATAATTTGTGGCTCGCAAAGTCGTGACCAATTTCCACTATTGTCAAGCAAAGTTCGTTAAGTAAACGACTCTTGTGATGCCCCCTCTGGTTAAGAGGGCTCTTGGTTCAAAATACTTGAAATGTTGAAATTGTTTCATTTGACAGAGAGCGATGATGATAATATAGAGTTTGTGTGAAAGAGGGAGACAGTTAAGTCAAACCATTCTCACATTAAACAGTTGTCAGTTGAAAAAAATTATTGTTTTAAAAATATAACGAGATTGACCCTCACTTATATGCTTATGCCTTTTTGCTAAAAATATTTTTCTTATTGGTGTATCTAGCCCAGCATTGTGTCACTTTGTTTCCCTTCCTACCAATTTTTTTGCACGAATTGAAATCAGTAACAAGAATAAAATATTCCTACATAAAGCACAGTGCTAGAAAACATATCTACTATAATTTCTTAAATTATAATTGATTCTTCTCTACTACCTGCATCCTTGGTTTCTTGGTTCATATCAAGCTTCAAACCTTTGTTTCTTGCCATTCCCTTAACCTGAAAATATCATTTAATCAGGATTACAAATCATTCAAGCAAAACAATATTAAGCAGTGCTCGACATGTCATATCATAGATAAGCTTGATACAAACAGGTAATAATCAATTTCAGGCAAGATTTAGCAAATCTGCTAAATCTAGGTTTGTAAACCCCTCATAATTCATAAACCTTTGGTAAATTTTAATTTAAATCTCACTTAAAACTGGCAAACATACAGCCCCTTTAAAATAACAATGTCAAGTTTCTAAAAAAACATGTTGACATTGTTCTTCCGGAGTAAATGTCAATCAAACTAGAAGAATGAAAAAGATTATGCAGTGAAAATTGCCTATTGTTGAATTCAAATCTGTCCGGTAGGTTGTGTCAAAGGAATGGAGCGTTGGACGGAGAAGAGGTGATGGAGAGAGGGGGAGAAATGAGAGAGAAGAGAGAGAGAAGAGGAGGACTTCCCCTGACCATGAAGAAATGGGGTGTTTTCGGGCTTCTAGCCCCATTATATTCCATTAAATTAGAGGTTACAAATGAGGTGTGCCCCCAAAAAGGTCCCCCTACATCATCAAACTCTCTTATTTATAGAAGATAAGAGGGGTAGAAGGTACAAAGTTATATATTTAGCTATGTTTTTTAAGAGAAAGCAAAAGACATTTTAGTTATTTTTATTTCGATTATTAGATGGTCTTAAGATCGATGCAGACTATCATGTCTATTTTTGTCGGCCGACTGAAGTGAGTTGGCCGAGGGAGAGAGCTTAGTCGGTCGACTGAAGTGAGGTGGCCGAGGGAGAGAGCTTTGTCAGCCAACTATTGGATTTCCTGGAGATCTGTGCAGAACATTTTCGAGTATACGCTTACACTACTTAATTATAAGTTCTAAATTCATAAACGGTTGGAAATATGAATCCATCCTTTTGTTAGCCGAATAAACAAGAAGCAGTAGTAAGAAATCCAATGAATGGATCGTGGTGGTTTTTCTTCATTTACGAGTGCTCGGAACATGCAGCGGCCGTCGCCGGTGACCTTATGAACCGAGTAATGCTCTTCTTTCTTCATTGCTGGTGAAATCGCATTCCTTCAACTCAAAAACAGGAAAAAGAAAAGCAAAGTTATAATCCATTCACTCCCAACCAATTCAGATTAACATATGCAACAAAACATGACAATAATACCATACAATGAGGAGCCGATTCTTGCGAAGAACCGCAGCCCAGAAAGCGACGGAGAAATCGAAAGGCTTGCAAGTTCAAACTTCGCGCTTCCATCCCTCAATTGCTGCAGAAGAGAGTCTGCGGACGAGAACGAGAAGCGGTGGATAATAAAAAAAATAAGTAATACGGAACGTGAGAAAAGAAGCTTGAGTAGAAGAGGAGCGGTTTGGAGAGTGACCGTTCGAGGGCCTCCGATCTACCGCCATGGAATCCGGCAGCAGAGAAGTCGAAGCAGCAGACGCACCCGCACGGACTGGCATGGGCTCGTGGGACTAACCCATGTCATTATAAACAAATCAATACTTCTGTTTTTTATTTTTTAAAATTTGAGAATTTTGGAGGCCTGCCACCTAAAATAATTAATATAATATTTCTAACATTCAAAATTTTAAAATATTAACAATTAACCTGAGAATTACTCACTATGGAGAGCACAATCAATTAGCCTGGTTACATGGATGAATTATATTTTTATTTCATCAAAACATTACATTCTATTCCTCATCTATTTATGTAGATGAGAAGATAATTCTAGTATGCATACAAATTATATTACCACCATAAGTTAATTCATTATTATATTACGATACTCATTATTCCTCCTGCAGAATCGCTGGAGGTGTTGGTCCCGCACAACTCTATTAGATGTAGGTGGTGATGGTTAAGCTCCCGCAGAATCAGTAGCAGTGGTGTCATGGCTCCATTAGCTATAGACAATGAAGGTTGAGAATGGTTGAGAAATATGACTATTTTTAACATGAAGAAGGGGTGAGGAAGCTAAGAGTTAAGTTCACATACATAAAAAAGAGTGAAAATTGTTGACCCCCATTAGTGGATGTTATGGACTGATTATTATTACCTTATAGTTGTCTGATTTTTGTGGGTTTGTGACTTAGTCAATATTTTATAAATCAATTTTTTTTTTTTACTTAGAAAGATACATAATTGATTACTTTGATAAGGTAAAGGCTCCCCAATTTTTTCCTTTCAACCCTATTTTTATTTATACATGTATTGAATCATTGTGAAATGCTCAAACAATAATTTATCATACTATCATAGTTCTGAATTTTCTAGCAAGCAACAAAATAAAAAAACAAAAAGATTCTATTAAATAATCAAATTTCTTAATACAATACATGAACTTTTTGCTGCAAACGCAAGGCTTTAAAATAGTTGTCTATAGTGTCCAAAGATCTAAATGAATAATGATGTATACTTTAAAAATTTTGAAATGCAAGTAAAATATGTTCAAACAATCATGATTTTAC